TCCTCAACCAAAGCCTAACCGCAAGGCAGTGGTGTTTGGCGGGAAATGCAAATGCATTACCATTTCTACGGAACAAGTCGCCATACATGTTCCAACCCCCAACCTGGAGGGCCAGGAGACTGTGTTCGTCAGACCTCTACCCATTGACCAACCTGGTATGAGAAACTCTGTGTGTCGCGGGGACATTCCCCAGTATAGCTCATTGGATTGTTGAGGTCCAGTCTCTTCGTGAAAGACACAGTAAAACGGGATCTTCACGAATGGCCTAGGGGTGCTTGATGAGACCTCGGTCAGAGTCCAGATAGTTACCTAAAGATTCAGTGGCCGTAAGAAGAGAGACTGAACATCAGAGGAAGACATGACTTCCTGAGAGATTTCAATGTGCTCTAGCTAGAATGAAAGCTTTCACATGTCTCATGGAAACGATTCTGGCGGGTTTACGAATCCCTACTGGTTGACGATAGGGTGAACAGTTCATAGCTAACATCGGACGAAGTGGATCCTCGGGAGTCCGTAAAGCTGAGTAGTATGAGTAATGACAGGTTTAAGCATGGTAAACTCACTCTGAGATATCAAACCGATCAGTTGAAGGATCTGTGGCTCGCGAGTAATTTGGCCGTCCGACAACATCCCCTTGTTTGATTGTTTATCGGTGAAAATTTGGATAAAACGACCAAAACTGCGTTTATTTTGACATTCCATCCTGGTTGTCTTGGATAAAAACGCCGAATCTATTGTCTGCCTCTGATATAACAAAGATATGGGTTCTCTTCGTTTCATCCAAAGCTTTTACTTGTCCTTCCGGTAGCCCACATTTTGGATACATCAAGTAAGAGCTCAAAAAGTTGCTGAGATTACTCGGTTTCGATTTAAATCAACTTTCATCTTCTGGAGACGTAGACTGAACTACTACGAGTTGGTCAAACAGGTGTTTGAATTCTGTCTTCGGGGAAGGGCGGTCAGCCCTTCTGGGCAAAGTTCTCGAAACCTAGTCCAAGTGATTGTTCCCCCAGTTGAAGTCCAAGAGGCTTTTCACACACTTTCCCTGGTCTGATAGAAAGTTATTCATGAGGAGAGCACTCCCCAGTAACTTTCTGGAATATTTCGTAAAACTGTGAGTGCAGGATTCATCATAATGCGGCCGTCACGGAACCGACAGGTTACGCAGAAACAGGATGTCTCAATCGACTGAATAAGTCCGGAAGTTTGAGGAAACACTACGAGATGGGTACAGGTAATCTGGTAAACCGAAGAGGTATGTGGAAACTCTGTGAGAAATGATAGTTTGAAGTACATTTTTGACAAAAGGCTATGCAAATCTGAAGCGAGCACGTGATTAGCAATCCAAATCCAGTGGTATTGAGGTGGACAGTCTTCTGCGTAGGGATATAACTTATTGTTATCCCCAGAGAAGTGTAAAAAAAAGTAGTGGGAACAAAAACACTGCAGGAAAAATTCATTCTCGACAATATTTTCCGCCCCAAGAAGTGTAAAATAGCATAAGATGCACAATACAATACAGATTACAATTTTTCGATAACTATAGAACAACCCGACTGATCAATAAATCCAAGGTAGTTTCAGAGTGACACTCAGATCTTTCTCAGCGCAGAGGACAGGGTCAAATCTGCCAAGCATATCTTCATTACCGACGACGTTTGCAGAAATCCGCATAGTTTTTTCTGCACAAAACGCTTTTGGTGACATCGTTGATCTGCCTTACCTTTTGAAACTACTTAAATGTAGCGCGATTGATTTTTTTTGGAAATTTCTGCCCATTTTGCTTGCTGAAGCCCCATTTTCAATGGATTTTCGAAGTGTTTCATAAGCTTTGCTGCTTCAAATGATTTTATGATCAGTCAAGCTCAGAACTCCGCTAGGCCCCGGGTGTCACAGCTTATTCGGTAGTATTACACTTCGGACAATCATCAGACTGAAAAATACAACTGATGGACAGACTAAACTGATGTGAACACTATTCGATTAGTGAGATACATTCATTTTCGAACAAATTTAGTTTTGCAAGAGACCCACCTAGAACCTAGTTGAATTTCTCATCTACGATGTTTCCAAGCAACTGAATATACGGTTGTCTCATGTTTCAGTTAGTACCATATTCGAGAAATAGGCGTAATACACTACTCATAAGGTTGCTGAAAATTATTTGACAGCCCACGACCAGTGTCGTCCTTGCTGGGGCGTACCAGGTAGACACCAGGTAGCTCACTTTTCCTTAGACTGATCGTTGAAACCATCTTGTTACCAGAAAAGGCATAGTAACTGTCCTTGGTTGTTTGTCATCTTGATGGTTGCTAGTCGTGCAAATGACCGCTTATTGTTTCATCTAGAATGACGTCAGTTCCGTCAATGACGCACGCGTTTCTGAATGCTGCACACCTTTGATCACCCCGGAAACACACTGATTACGTTAAAATAGTACTGGATGAATCAGCACCATAGTAACTAGTTAAGATCCCCGTCTTGGCCTGCTAACATTTTCCCTCATTGGGAAAACGGTTTTTTCTAAAATGGGACTTCAGCTTATTGCACTCCAAACGCAACCCTTTGCACGTCACTATCACTTTTACACACACGCCAGCTATGTTCCGTGTATTGTTCCGAATACACCTGAAGACGTAATCAGAATGAAGAGATAACAAACAGAAAACTACTCAGAACATTGCTGGAAAACCTACGATATCCCATTCCCGATTTCGCCTCATCCCGCATTTCCGTCAACTACAAAATCTACTCGATTTGCACCTAATTTGCACGAAATTCGACCTATACACTCATTTGTTTATCAATTTGGAAGGAGGCCAGAGGCGGTCAAGCACTGATTTGGTAACGAAGTATGAAAGCCATTACAAGCAAACTAAGCTGCGCTGGTCATTACCGCGTCCCTGGATGGGGGCCCCGGGACGGACCGCATCGATGTCAAACATGGCCCAGTCGCACCCTAAATGGTGCACGTGCATCCAAGCTATTGTCTTTATTGCATAGCTCCCTTCCCGAATCCCCCAACTAACAGCAAACCTACAGTGTTGTAACTACGCGCTAGTTTATCAGCTTTCGCCTCCAAACCTGTGGCAGCTACAACCACCGTATAACTGGTACGCAGTTCTTAAAGCTGAAAATGATGATGGTATCATGATTAGGATGATTATGATGTCGATGGTGATGATGTTATATCTTGCTGGACGGTAGTGCAACTCTGTGTCGGTCCCTTGGCTTCCTGCTCCACCCACTATGGTATAGCAAAAGGCACGGTAGCTGTACACAGC